GTTAAATAATTTCATAAATGAAAAATATGATATTGTACATGTCCAAAGAACTATCGAGGCAAGCGGCTGTTCGAATCGCTATGTAGTCATACAATCTATTACCTGGAAATTTCGTTGAGCAAAACATTGTTTAACGGTATAACCAGGAGAGAAGTTGCTAGCAAATTGATGAATGTCAAAAGTTATAGTTAACATTGTGCTCAGAAATATGAACAACGTACGTGGTTTAAAACCTAGCTGTATGAAGAATACGCTGCGATGGCTCAATTCATTTTCAGCAAACCAATAAGCAGTTATAATCAACACAAGATGTACACTTATGCGAAACTAGTTAATTATAGCAGTAGAGAATCACTGCGACAGATATAATAAAATATTTACATTAAAGATTTCCCAAACGTTATAAAACAAATTTTGCATACTGAGCGGTTTTCTTTGATCCACTGTTCTATCGATGCATCGTTCATATAGAAAGCTTTAATGTAATTTTCGACCAGATCCTTTCCCGCGGTAAGTCTAAGAAATGCGAGCGACAAAAAACTTCTAAATTTTTGAAAAGTTCTTACTTTTTCTCAGCGATCGTTTCAAGATTGATGAGCAACTGCTGGAAGTTACGTTGCATCAACGCCCGACCTTCGTCCGTACACTTCTTAGCATCAGAAAACCTGAAATAGGTTATGCGTCAGATCGAAAGATGCAGCGATTGATGGATTTTACCCCTCAACAAGAATCGCGAACAATTTCTCGCCTAGGCCACACCACACTGTCGTCCACACTTCTTCGGGAATGCAGATCTGCGGTGTCCGGGGAGTCAGAAAGGCTTGTAGCTTCTTCAGCTCCTGTAATTAGCATTAATAAACCAAACTGCTTCACAGTCATTAGAAAGCTCACCTCAATGATGATGTCAGTAAACGGGCTATGCCTCTGCATCAACTCCTTGACATCCCAGTTCACCGCTGACATGTTTTCCAATATACCGCCATAATTAACGAAGACCTTGCCGACCGCGCAGTAAGCCGGCTTCCGCATAAGACGGGCCGGCTTTAGCGACTACAATAAACATTAGTTTAGTTCAACGTGCAAAAAACAGCCTGCAAGTTTCGAATAATAAAACTGTCTTATGATACCTGAGAGGTAAAAAGACGCAAGAACGCTTGTTTGATCTTAGGTAGCAAAGGCTCTATTACTGGAAGCACATCGACTAGTTGATCAGAAACAAAAATACTAAAACAGAAATTATTAAAGTGATTAAAAACACTGATAAAACTAAATCAAAACAAAATACATACGGAATGAAAATAAACAATTTGTGACAAGAAACTCAGATAACACTGGCTGAAGATAGACGCTTGAGATAATAACTTTGTCACCCTCAAAAACTCGTGGCTGATATTATGACCATGAATCTAACGAACTGCGTCATATGGCGATAGCGGTGTTAAATTGTTTGAATACCGGCGACTTCTTCTGGTGGATTTTCCACCATTTGTCCTGAGGTCTTCTCTTAGTGGAGTGATTATTAACCAATGAACTATTACCGACTACTGAAGAAAGTTCTAGTAGCCTGTGTTGAAGAAAAAAGAAACCGATAAGAGATCCGCCCCTGACAATAAATCTAGACATCGTCCTGAAAGTTATTCAACGAAAGAATGGACTGATATGTGCCGAGAACCCTAGTGCTTGAAAAGCAAGTGCAACATGAAGACTTCGTCAAGAAGACGGCGACGGTCAGCAAGACGAAAACAATGACAACAGCACCACGGCGACTATGAAAGCGATTCTCTTGATCACGATGGTTACGCCACGAGAGAGATTTTGAACTTTCTGCTATGGCAGCGACTTCATGACTATGGTGATATTCTCACCTTAGCTGAAAAACTCGAAGAACAGAATAAACTGGAAAAGACATTATAATAAATGTAATAGTTATAGCGATCATCGTTAAAAACTATATTTCACTGAAATAGCTACTGTGACAAGAGTAGCAGATTCCGTAAAAATTTCTTTGATGATTAAATGAGAATTGGCTTCGACTTTATCTATAACTCCTTATAGGCCACAATAATGAAACTGTTTTATAAGCTTATTCTGTAGATCACTGCTAAAAATTAAATCAAAAACAATATTCATACAGAGATTCAACGCCAACAACACGATTCATGAACGTCACCAGTGACTCAGCCGACAATGCGTTCTCCTCCGAGTCTAAAACTAAGATTACAGTGTTGATGAAATACAGATGTTCCTGGATGCATGATTAATCATATGTATATCCAAAATGAAGCAGTCTAACAAGATTAACATGTACATTAAAGATGGATGTCTTTACGATCGCTAAGGCATGAAAATACCACCACTGATTATAAACTTCTGCTCAAATAATTTGCAGTTGAAGCTGCCTCCTGTTCCTAGCCAAAGGCATCTTCAGTGATGTGAATGAATGGATACCTAAATTTTTACTGTTCTTATTCATTGCCTAGCGAAACTAAACCAAGAAAACCGGCATGAAATGGTCAGTAGAAAAAGACTGTGCTCATACTGGCTTTAGTCTTAATTCATAAAGAAACAAACGGCGTAGCATAAATGAGAGAACAGCTCCTGTAGTCAAAAGTAAAATACTACTGACTTTGCAGTGGCTTTCAAAAAAAGAAGGATCAAACGCCTCGCCTTGTAGTCAACCTACTAATGGATCAACGAGACTCCCACAGTTCTAATTCACTACCTAACGACGGAATAGTCAAAATAAACGTCCATGACTAAACGCCTTTATCTAACGTTGCATAAGGCAGTCCTTTAGCTCATTCACAGAAAATCATCTTTAACATAAAAATATACGCGAATTTTCAACATTCCAACTATCACTAACAATGAAAAAGGGACAGAACCTATACATTACAATTGGTTCATAAATTTCATAAGCTAAAACAGATTTAATTAATTATGGCACACTTACCGTAGTTGGGAAGCGTTCTGGAAGCAGCAGAGAAATTCGTCTCTATTCGCTGTATGCATATCGACAATGAACTATCACAAAGACATTCATCGGCTCCACAGTCGAATATTTTAAAAATCTGCAAACAGCAGACATCAACAACACAGGATCTACATACAAATGAAACTAAGGTGTGCTTAATGCAACGACTAATCAATTAAGCGACGACTTCCAATGGTAAGCCATAGTTAAATTAAGGAACAGAATTATACGATATCTAATTTAGAGTGAAACGCTACTTGACATAATGCAATACTAAAAGATTTTCTAGTTGCATATATGCGTATGTTAATTTTTTTATAGTTATACATATTAAATATTTCCCATTTACATTTTCAGATATGGAAGCAGAATAATTTCTTTGAAACTGCAATAAAACTAAGCTACTCAGAGGAGTTATTCAATTCACGTCGCGTATTCGATCGCAAATACAAAATAGTCAATTTCGATAACCGTTTATCTCTTCGGGCCGTGGAGGCAGACCAACGTTCCCTATCCCGTGCCAGCCCCTGAACTTCGGCACAAGATAACCAAAGCATGGAGCGAAGTCCTTCAAGAGAATTACGCAAGATCATCCTTGGCCGATCCCTGAGTCTTAATACACAAACTCACACAGCTGTGAGTTTTCAATTATACTTGGCAACCTAAGATGATTATAATAATTACAATAGGACACCTCAGATCGCATCTTCTTGCGAACATCTTCATCGAAGAATAAAACGGTTTCAGGCATGGAAGCAAAGGATAAAGAGCTGCTTATAGCTGATGCTGCTACTATGAATAAAGTCCTACATGCAAGACGTAATATCTCGTTAGGGTGGGTTGATTATAAGAAAGCGTCCGACTCGGCGCCTCATTCACGGCTGATAAAGTGCTATAATGTACATGGTGAAACACAACATCATTACCCGGTGGCGAATGCGACTGCGTGTTGGAAGAGGCTCATATTAGCATGAAACGAAAATGATCTGGATCACCGGATAAGAGGAGGCATTTTTCAGGGACAGGATCTCTGTACTCTCGAGTTTTGTTTAGCATTAAATCCGCTTAGTGAGCTGTTAAACAAATCAGGAAACGGACAGTTATCAAGAACAATACGAAGCTCTTCCACCTGAATGACCGAAACTGTACGCCAGAAACTTAAATGAATTAGAATGTATGTCTGAGCTGATATATAATTTTTGCAGGTCAGTCAGAATGGAATTCGGTCTAAGTAAATATGCAATTCTGCAGGCTAAACGTAAAACACCAATACAATCAGAAAACCTGCATCTCAAAGACGGGGAAAAATTACGAACTAAGCCAGAAAGCAGAGTGGTGTGCTATCTAAACTTTATTAACAGAGTAAATAAACTTCCTATGGACTTTACTGTGCTGCCATTGTTCGATGGAATCGACCTGAAAAAATTGTTAGCTTGGTCTTGAGAGGATGGACTCCACGAAAACAGAAGCATTTGCAGAGGCAATACAAAATCAAGTGGTGATTAAAAAAACAGTAAATTTTACAATTAAGGAAAACAACTAGGATAGATGCAGGATGTGCGGCAGTACAACGTGATAGCCTGACATATTGTCACAGGTTGTTCCGTTTCGACTGACACGAAGTACTTCAAGCGGCATAACAGCATCGCAATAAAAAACCAAAAATTGGCAATTGTGAAAGAGCCCTCTTCCCAGAAACAACACTGTATTATCGATACCATCAAGCGATCATGCTTAAGGGTGACCAATATGCCATCTATTCGAAAACCCTACAGTCATTGATCGTGCCAATGATCACAATCGCTCAAACACATTAATCTTGGATCATAAGAATAGGGCAACTGAGATAATTGATATTGCTGTTATACTTGACGAAAACATGCAAAAATCAAGAGTGGAGAAAATAAAAAAATATCAAAAACCGGCCATCGATCTGAAGCAAACATATCGTTAAAGACAGTAAGAACAACACATCTTGTCCACTCTGCAAATTACCTCATTGCAAAATCACTGAAAATCAGCTTCAACTACCTGAAGCTCCCAGAAAGGCTACCTTCAAATTGTCGTAAAGCGCTTATTATGAATACATGCAGAATAATGCGAAAGACAATAGATATAACAGATCTGTAGCATGCAACAGATTTGTAACATGCTAGTTGGCTATGCTTAGTACCGTATGCCCGCAAAAATCTTTGTATGAAAAAATATGAAATAAATAATACAGATAAATCGTAACTCCGCCGTTGCCGGTCCCAAGCCCGGATGAGAAAGAAGGAGGGTTCGAGAAAGTGGCAAGTCACCGTAAAATTTAGCCACCTGCCAATCATGGAATTGACGCCATCGAAAATCATACCAGCTCGGTCGTCGCCCAGGCTACGAAGCGAAGGCTGCTGGGGACTGAGGCAGTCTGCGAAAAGTCGGCGATCAGAACCTGCTCATTGCCCTCTGCCAGCAGGGGGCGAAGCAGCACAACGACGGCTGACGAAGATACCAGTCAGCAACGGAGTCGCTAACCGTTCCGA